AGCCTCACCTGCCTCACAACGTGAGTGTTGTGGGGAGAGGAAGGGGAAGACGATTGTCAGCCACTCTGAGACACAGGAGGCCTGCTGGGTGACCTTGGGCAGTCCCAGTTCTCTTCAGAACTCTCTCAGCCCCACCTGCCTCACTGGATATCTGTTATGGGGAGAGGAAGGGGTGATTGTCAGCCCCTTTGAGACTCCTTAAGGTAGAGAAAAGTGGGGTATAAAAACCAACTCTTCTTCTTCCTCCAATTAATTTGAGGCCCCGGGGTATGATGGGTAAGAAACTGGTGCATCCTGGCTACACTCCACAGTCCCTGACCAACTTGTTCAATGAGTGGCTTCTAGAAGTATGAGGCAGAAATTAAACTCTTTGTGTTTGTGTTTGAGAAGAGAACTTCTTCTTCCTCCAATTAATTTGAGGCCCCGGGGTATGATGGGTAAGAAACTGGTGCATCCTGGCTACACTCCACAGTCCCTGACCAACTTGTTCAATGAGTGGCTTCTAGAAGTATGAGGCAGAAATTAAACTCTTTGTGTTTGTGTTTGAGAAGAGAACTTTGATTTCAGCACTGAATAAGGTTGAGGAGTTCATTTGTCAGCAAGATGTGTGGACTCTGAACCACAGCAGCAGGTTCTTGGGGAATGACTCCTTTTACCCTTTTCAAATCTGTCAGTGGAGGGGGGATTTTGTATATCATATGTAATCATGTATAATCATGTATAATGGTTTAGCATATCTGCAAGTCCTTTTGGTGATCACAGCACTTCAGGTACATTAGCAACTGTTACAATAACCCTGTAAGGTAGGCCAGTACTATTATCCAAGTATTGCTGATGAGGAGCCAAGCTTAAGAAATAGCAGCTTGCCTGAGGTAAGGTTTGAACTAGGGACTTCCTGTCCCATGGCTCACAATCCTAAACTTCAGGGGTCATTCTGTAGAAAAAGAGGTGTATGAGCTCATTTACATAGTTCATTAGCTTCACTTATTTACATATGCCACACCCCCTGACATCACCGGAAGTGTGTCAGAAGGCAACACCCACCGCTCAGGCTCCACTGGACTATTTTGGATTGCTAGCTATTGGGGGGGGGGGGGAATGTGCAGATCTGTCCTCGCAGAGGAGGGAGAGCTTGTACCTGAATAAAGGTGCCACTGGACTGTTTTGGACAGGGGGGCCACGGGGGGGCTCTGCAACTTACCTGGCTGCTTCTTGCTGTGACTGAGGGCTGCTGGGAGCAGGGGGTGGGGCTTGTTGCATGTGCCCGCCCCCTGGGCTCTTTACTGCCAGAGCTCCACTCCTGTGCGCTCCTGCAGGAAATGACCCCTGCTAACCTTTACAGTGCACCAGCTCATGATAAAGACTTAGGAAAATTGCAGAGCTAGGATATTCTTACAAAGCTTGGTGCATGCTGGGACTCGAGCATCACATCAATGTAAGATTGGAATCTTTGGTCCCATGTTCTAGGAACATAGCTTGTATTTTCCATTCCAGTGTCTGCTTTAACTGCTTTAACAAAGGAGCAGTTAACGTCCCACTCTGTAGATTCCAGAGAACATAACTTCCTGGTCCGTTAAGAAAGATCCTCAATCCAAGCTACAGTTTTTGACAGGATGATTTGAAGTCAAGTGTATTCCATCGTCTTGCAAGGAAGACATTTCTTTGGCGGTTGGATTTCCTTCCGAGCAACGATCCTGCAAGCTGTAGAAGTCAGACAGCATTGTCTTGAACCTTCAACCCACGTGGTCTGTTAGTGAAGCAGTTAGATTTGGTCTTGGTCTGATAAAACCAAAGAAATTGGGGGACGTTTTTCAACTCAGCTAGTCAGTGTTAGATGTAAGAAGGCTGTAGCGCAAATGATCATCCCCTAAAAATGACAATGAAAGGATATTTTAAGCTTTTTTTATCTTTATGGTGCAGTGAAAGCCTTTTGCCTCGCTGAGCTATTTTATCTTCTTGGGAGTTTTATTAATTGAACGAAAGAGGCTCATATTTCTTCCTGCTCCATTCTGGAAAGAAGCAAACAAACAAAACCCACAGACATTATTATTTCTCTGTGAATGGATAGGTCAGTCAGGGTATATCTAGTGCCCCATCTGTCTTTAAAAACAAAGGAATTACTCAGACTGCTGTCGGATTGGCTATTGTGATTTTTGGCTTGACAAACTGAGAGGTAAGCTTTTCCCCAGTTGTCGCCCCTTGGGAGTCAGTGTGGTGTAGTGGTTGAAGCGTTGGACTATGATCTGTGAGACCCAGGTTCGAATTCCAGCTTTTCCATGGCAGCTTGCTGGGTGACTTCAGGCCAGTCACAGATTTTGAACCTAACTCTACGTCCCGAGGTGGTTGTTAGTGGAGCATGATGTACCCATGGGGCAAAAGGGCAGGGTATAAATGAGGTAAAATTAAAATAAAATAGATGTGAGGTTCTTCCTGTGATGTAAGGGTCAGTATGTGAGAATGCAGGTGTTGTGAACAGAAACACAAAGGTGTTGTGAAGTCATATA